AGCTGCCACCAGTGCTTGGCCAGGTGGCGGCCTGGGCCTGATTCTGAAAGACGCGGGGTGCAATCGACACCAGCGCCTAGGAGATCGGGGCACAGGGCCTGTTGGCAGTGTCGGCCTAGCCAAGTGGATTTGTCTGGTGCCTCTGACTTGCATCTAGGAAATTGCTAAGTGTCTACTTTGAACAAAGCAGTACTGAGTTCAGTGGGCCTTATCCCCAGGTAAGGGTGTGTGGGGCTATAGTGGTTTTTCTAGGCAGCCAGGGCTCCTCCGGATGACTAGATCTTTTGCACTAGGCCAGTGAGGACCACTTGCTTTTAAAACTCTCCCAGATATACAGAACTCCCTGTGCTCTTTTTGCAGACTACCCAAGTGTCCCTATTTTCCAAGGACAGTCCTGGATTTACAGAAGCCGTCCCAGTTTCTGATTTGATTCCGGAATGTCCTGCTTTTCCTTAGGGTCTCCCTATTTTCGCCAGAGAAATGTTGGAGGGTATGGAGTTAGCCAACCCCCGAGCCATCTGAAGGCAGCCCTGTGTAGAGAAGGTTTTTAAAATGTTTTATTAAGTTTTTATATATGTTGGAAGCTGCCCAGAATGGCTGGGGCAACCTGTCAGATGGGCAGGGCATTAATAGTAAAATGATTATTATGGAATAGGACGTACCTATTTTCATCGGAGGTAAGTGGGAAGGTATGCTTTTGGACTGTTGTTTGTAGGTTTCTCCCTCTGTGTCAAATAAAGGTGAAGAAAAGGTAAAGTACACCTTGACGGCTAGGTCCAGTCAAAGGCTAATTTGGGGTTGCAGCGCTCATCTTGCTTTCAGGCCGAGGGAGCCAGGGTTTGTCCACAGACAGCTTTCTGGGTCATGTGGCCAGCATGACTAAACCGCTTGCAATCATTTTTTCCCCTTTAAAAACCCTGATTGACTGAATATCTGCTCAATGAAGCACAGGCAAGTCACGGGGCAGCCTAGTACTACTTTTATTTATTTTTCCCTTTTTGCATTTCTTGGAGCAGTCCTGGTTTGTTTTCAGCTGGAGAGGGCAATCCTTGAGGCTCCTGTTGTGACCACTGCTTGTTGCTCCGCCAGTGCCAGGCCAAGTGGCAGCCTGGGTCTGACTCCGCAAGAGGTGGGGTGCAGTCCTCCCCAGTGCCTAGCAGATCAGGCCGCAGGGTTCATCGGCAGTGTTGGTGTGGCTCTGCAAGACGCGGCACGAAATCCACCACAGCACCTAGCCAAGTGAATTCGTCTGGTGCTGCTGACTTGCATCTAGTACCGTATTTTGCGCCCCATAGGACGCTCCGGCCCATAGGACGCACCTAGTTTTTTTTTGGGGGGGGAATAAAGAAAAAAAATTATTTCCCCCCCAGGTGCAGGGCTGGAAGAACCAGGTCGGGGAACAGTGGGAAGGCACGCTCTGCCTCCCCGCTGTCCCCGAGCTTGTGGGGCTGGCGATGGGGAGAAGTGTGCTGATCCCGGGACTGCAGGCAGCTCTGCGCCGCCATCCGGAGCAGGGCGGGACTTAGCGCCCTGCTCCCGATGGCCGCGCAGAGCTGTGCTGAGCCGGGGACTGCAGGCAGCTCTGCGCAACCCTCGGAGCCGGTCTCCCGAGGGTTGCGCAGAGCTTCCTGAAGCCTGGAGAGCGAGAGGGGTCGGTGCGCACCGACCCCTCTCGCTCTCCAGGCTTCAGCGAAAGCCTGCATTCGCCCCATAGGACGCACACACATTTCCCCTTCATTTTTGGAGGGGAAAAAGTGCGTCCTATAGGGCGAAAAATACGGTAAATTAGTGTTTACTCAGAACAAAGCAGCACAGTGTTAACTGGCCTTACTCCCAGGTAAGGGTGTGGGGCTATGGTGTTTTTTCTAGGCAGCCACTGCTCCTCCGGATGACTAGATCTTTTTGCACTAGGTCAGTGAGGACCACTTGCTTTTTAAAATTCTCCCATATATACAGAACTCCCTGTGGTCCTTTTTGCAGACTCTCCAAGTGTCCCTATTTTCCAGAAACAGTCCTAGATTGACAGAAGTCATCCCAGGTTCTGATTTGATCCTGGAATGTCGTGCTTTTCCTTAGGACGTCCCAGAGAAATGTTGGAGGGTATGGGGTTATGTAACCTCCAAGCCATCTGAAGGCAGCCTGTATAGGGAAGAGTTTAAGTTTAATGTTTATTATGTCTCTATATATGTTGGAAGCCGCCAAGTGGCTGGGGCAATCCAATCTGATGGGCGGGGTGTTGTTGTTGTTGTATAGTTGTGTCTGACTCTTTGTGACCCCCTGGACCAGAGCACGCCAGGCCCTCCTGTCTTCCACTGCCTCCCTCAGTTTGGTCAAACTCATGCTGGTAGCTTCGAGAACACTGTCCAACCATCTCGCCCTCTGTCGTCCCCTTCTCCTTGTGCCCTCCATCTTTCCCAACATCAGGGTCTATTCCAGGGAGTCTTCTCTTCTCATGAGGTGGCCCAAAGTATCAGAGCCTCAGCTTCAGGATCTGTGCTTCCAGTGAGCACTCAGGGCTGATTTCTTGCAGAATGGATAGGTTTGATCTTCTTGCAGTCCATGGGACTCTCAAGAGTCTCCTCCAGCACCATAATTCAAAAGCATTCATTCTTCGGCGATCAGCCTTCTTTATGGTCCTGCTCTCACTTCCATACATCACTGCTGGGAAAACCATAGCTTTAACGATACGGACCTTTGTCGGCAAAGTAATGTCTCTGCTTTTTAAGATGCTGTCTAGGTTTGTCATTGCTTTTCTCCCAAGAAGCAGGCATCATTTAATTTTGTGACTGCTGTCACCATCTGCAGTGATCATGGAGCCCAAGAAGGTAAAATCTCTCACTGTCTCCATTTCTTCCCCTTCTTCCCATGGGCCCAGTGACCATGATTTTAGTTTTTTTGATGTTGAGCTTCAGACCATATTTTGCGCTCTCCTCTTTCACTCTCATGAATAGTTTCTTTAATTCCTCCTCACTTTCTGCCATCAAGGTTGTGTCATCTGCATATCGGAGGTTGTTGATATTTCTTCTGGCAATCTTAATTCTCGCTTGGGATTCATCCAGTCCAGCCTTTCCCATGATGCATATAAATAAGCAGGGAGATAATATACAGCCTTGAGGTACGCCTTTCCCAATTTTGACTAACTGTAGCTTCTTGTCCCACATGGATGGGGTATTATTAGTAAAATTATTATTATTATTATTCTGGAATAGAACGTATCTATTTTCATTGGAGAAATGTTGGACGGTAATGCTTTTGGACTGTTATCTGTAGGTTTCCTGCTCTGTGTCAAATAACTGGATCAAATAAGTGTTGTTTACTTTTTATAATACAGTACAAGGGAGATCTCCCTCTGGAGGTTCTGGACTCTCCTTCCCTGGAGGTTCTAAGCAGAGGTTGGGTGGGCATCTGTCATGGAGGCTTGAGCTGAGATTCCTACGTTTGTATGGGTTGCACTAGAAGGATGACTCTTGGGGTCCCTTCCAGCTCTATGATTCTTATGTTTATCTGCTTTTCATTATGCTCCTATTATTTTATGTAGTTGTATTTTGTATAAATCATAAAACATTATGATAAATAAATTATAAAAGAGGTTCTATTTACAAACAAAACATTTCAGTAGCTACCTTTCTACCGGTAGGAAGGGGTTGGGGGCCACAGGAAGGAAATGAGGTCGGAAAGGGCCACGGTTGGAAAAAGATGGGGGAACTCTGCTCTGCATCATGTTTAAATTTAAGAAAGGGAAGGGCAGGCTGCCATTTAGATGAGGAGGATTTTCTGTGGATGGTGCAAAATACAAAAGAGAGATGCAAGCAGCTTCAAATCAGCATTAAAAGTCCTGTGTGGATGAGGCCTTAAACCAGGGGTCGCAAACTTACTGAGCCTGGGCCGGTTCACTCCCCCGGAGATCTCAGCAAGCGCCGGATTGTGAGAACACACACCCGCAGACACTATTTCTGGCGTGGAGAAGGCGCCTCCAGCTTCCTATTGGTTGCAGGAATTTGCTGTATCCAATAGGAAGCCCCGCCAGTGCCGCGGAAGTGAGTCGCCGCGATGCGCTGGTTTAGCGCAGCGTGCAGAGACTTGCAGAGCACATGGCAGGGTTCGGGGTGGCTTGGGGGCCGCTTAAATGACCCCCCTGGCCAGATGTGGCCCAGGAGCTGTAGATTGCCGACCCCTACCTTATACAGACACATCATTTTACCACTTTTCCTTTTTAATCCATTAGGAGATGTTTCAGAGTTCCTGACTGAAGGAGAACAATCAGAACTCACGTGAAGGAGCTGAGGAGCAGAAGGAGCAACGGAAACAGCGGGTTCAAGTTGGAACCTACAGAAAGGGGGACCCAAATGCAGAAGGTGGGGAGGGAATCCACTGCTTCTCAGGTTAATGAAAATCAGATTGCAGAGAGAAGCATGAATGTACTGTGTGTGGAAAGAGATTTCCTTATCGCTCAACGCTTACTTCACATCAAAGAGTGCACTCGGATGAAAAACCATATAAATGCTGGAGTGTGGAAAAGTTTTAGTCAGAGTGTAACCTTACTTCACATCAAAGAACTCATACAGGGGGAAACCTCACAAATGCTGGAGTGGAAAGAGTTTAGTAATAGTGGCTCCCTTACTTCGCATCAAAGGACTCATACAGGGGAGAAACCTCATAAATGCTTTGAGTGTGGAAAGAGCTTCAATCAGAGTAGCTCCCTTAGTAGGCATCACGCAATCCACACAGGGGACAAACCGTATGAATGCTTGAAGTGTGGAAAGTGTTTCCGTCAGAGGAGCAGCCTCACTAGACATGAAAGAACTTACACAGGGGACAAATGTGTGAAAGCTTGATGAGTGGAAAGAGCTTCCATCAGGGAGCATCCTCACTAGAGATAAAAGAACTCACGCAGGTGAAAAACCTCACAAATGTTTGGACTGTGGGAGGGCTTCAGGCACAAAGGCACCCTCACAAGGCATCAAAGAATTCATACAGGGGACAAACCTTATGGTGTTTGGAGTGTGAAATGAGCTTCACTCGCAAAGACTCCCTTACTTTGCATCAGAGAAGTCACACAGGAGAAAAGCCTTATAAATGCTGGGAGTGTGACAAGAGCTTCCGTGACAGTGGTGCCCTTACTCTGCATCGAAGAACTCATACAGGGGAAAAGCCTTATAAATGCTGGGAGTGTGGCAAGAGCTTCCGTGAGAGTGGTTCCCTTACTCGGCATCGAAGAACTCATACAGGGGAAAAGCCTTATACATGTTTTGAATGTGGAAAGAGCTTCAGTCAGAGTTGTCACCTTACTGATCATCAAAGAACTCATACGGAGGAGAAACCTCATTAACGCTTTGAAAGATGCTACAACAGCAGCAAGAATACTTATTGCAAAGTATTGGAAGACACAAGATTTACCCACCCGGGAAGAATGGCAGATGAAGCTGATGGACTACATGGAACTGGCGGAAATGACTGGCAGAATCCGAGACCAGGGAGAAGAGTCGGTGGAAGAAGATTGGAAAAAATTTAAAGACTGTTTACAGAAACACTGTAAAATTAATGAATGTTAGAAGGATGCTGGAATGTTATATGGCTTTAGCAGAAATGTTATAAAGAATTAAGTAAAAATAGACTGTTAATGGGCTAAAGGGGGAAAAAATAAGGTTAGATTGTGTTAAGATAAATTATGGGACAAAAACTGAGAAAGATGGAAAGGATTTGCTGAAATAGCTAACTGAACTAGAATACAAAAAAGAGTGGTGTGAGGAGGTCTTCGAAACAAGTAAATGAAAGATAAGATATGGAAATATTGGATGCGTTTTTAATTGTTTCTGTTTTTGTTTTTGTTTTGTTAAGATAAGTAGTGTTTTCTGTTTTATATGTATTGTATTGTATTTTTTGCTTTGTTTAACTTTTTTTTCTTCTTTCTGTGATTTCTAAACTCTTAATAAACATTATTTTTAACAAAAAATGCTTTGAAAGAGCTTCAGAGACATTAGCTCCCTTAATATGCATCATACAACCCACACAGGGGACAAGCCATATTACAGATGTTTGGACTGGGGAGAGCTTCCGATATAGTGACTCCCTCATGAAGCATCAAAGAATCATACAGGGGACTGTATGCAGTGTTGAAAGAGTTTCAGTTGCAAAGACTCCCTTAGGTAAAGATAAAGGGACCCCTTACTGTTAAGTCCAGTTGCGAACGTCTCTGGGGTTGCGGCACTCATCTTGCTTTACAGGCCGAGGGAGCTGGCGTTTGTCCACAGACAGCTTTTGGGTCATGTGGCCAGCATGACTAAACTGCTCCTGGCGCACGGAGGACGTGACGAGTGCCAGAGCGCACGGAAACGCCATTTCCCTTCCTGCTGGAGTGGTACCTATTTATCTACTTGCACTGACGTGCTTTCGAACTATTAGGTTGGCAGGAGCTGGACCGAGCAACGGGAGCCCACCCCGTTGCAGGGATTCGAACCGCCGACCTTCAGATCAGCAAGTCCAAGAGGCTCAGTGGTTTAGACCACAGCGCTACCTGCGTCCCTCAAAAAGACTCCCTTACTTTGCATCAAAGAACTCACACAGGAGAAAAACCTTATAAATGTTTGGAATGTAGAAAGAGCTTCATTCAGAGTTGTCACCTCACAGCCATAAGATAATTCATACAATGGATAGCCCTTACAAATGTTTGTAGTGTGACAAGAGCCTCAGTTGGCAGTGGGAAGCCCCATTAGCGAAAGCGCACCTCAGGTTAAGAATGGTTTCAGGTTAAGAACGGACCTCCGGAACGAATTAAGTTTGTAACCTGACGTGCCACTGTAATTACTCCCTTCCCACACCTCCCTGTTCTTCACGCCACTCTCTTGCCTGCTGTGAAAAGTGCGGTGGAGATTTTGTGGCTGGAATCCACCACCCCGAGATTTAAGAGTTCCATTCTTTGCTGACTGAGCTGTCCGTGAGATCCATTCAGTGGATGTGTATTTAGATCAGCTGGGTATATTGGTAAGCTATATGAGAGAGCTGGTGGAGCCAGTGTGGAATTCAGCAACAGTTAAGTTGGATATGATTTTGACTTGGCCTATTCTTTTTTCTGAGTAGACAAACATAAATTTAAAAGTTAAGTTTTATATTAATATTTTGTGTTTCCACATGAATCATTTGCATATTCTGTTGTTTATTTTCCCACATTTAGTGTGTAATGTGCGCTGATTTCTGCTTGATCCCCTTTCACTCATATCTTTCATAGGTTAAAAGGCATTTCCTGGTCTTCTGTTGATTTATTTAAAATAAATCTCTCCAAACACGTTTTAGCCTCTCAGGTCCTGTTGGTTCACCAAACTCTTGCCCATTTGGGCAAATTAGGAACTTCATTTTCAAGGTTTTCATGAATTCTTGACCACCATGCATCCAGGTAAGGTAGGGGAAAGGTAATCAGAAGAAAGATGTTGGGGACCTCTGGAATTGGTCCTTCCTAGTAACAGAGGGACCTGAATCTGACGCCTCTGAGGAAGGGGGTTTTGCTCATGAAACCTTGAACATGACCTCAGAAGAGCCTAGCTGGTGGATCAGGCCCTTAACCCACGTAGTCCAGCACCCTATTCCCCAGTGACCAAGCATGAACATAGAATGTGTAAATAAACGAGGTAGAAGGCCCACTCCACCTCACTCGAGTTGGGTGCCTTAATTATTGTTGTTTTTGTTACCGCTCTTCACCACGTGGTCCCAGGTGAGTCAGAAAAAATGTAAAAACACAGAATTAAAAACAATTAGTCACAACTATAGTGGGTTGTGTGAGGGAGAGATGTAATTGGTCTATACACACACAACACCACACACACATCTTCCAGCCCTTCAGGCAATTTCACCTAGTGATTATCAATCAATCAATCAAAATAATAATTATATATAATAATAATAGTACCTGCCCTATCTGACTGGGTTTCCCCAGACACTCTGGACCCGCTCTCCAACTATATAAACCATATAAAACATTAAGCATTTAGAAGCTTCCCTACACAGGGCTGCCTTCGATGATCTTGTAAAAAATGTGCAGCTCTTTTATCTCCTTGACATTTGGGTGGGAGGGAGTTCCACAGGGCGGATGCACCCACTGAGTAGACCCTTGCTGGTTCCCTGTAACTCACTTTCTCAGTGAGCAGTGTTGGGAGGACATTCTCATAGAAACATGTTTGTACCTTTAGAACAGTTTTTTGTGAGCTCTGGGTGATTGGTGCAGCTGGCCATGTGACCTCAAAAGAGAAGAGAAAGCTGCAGTTTGAACTCTGCCTGCAGAGAAAAACACCCAGAAGCTTTGCTCTGTTTGTTGGTTTGGAAATAAAAACCTTTATTTAATTTGGTTTTACAACCTGTCTCATGGAGTCCACGTCTCTGTATCTGCCACCAGTGGAAAATCCCCCTTCTAACAGATGAACTGCCAGATACTCGAGGAGACCTTGTGTCTAGGCAGAATGATGGGGGTGGAAGATGCTCTTTCGTTTCAGGGCTGAGGCATTAGAGCTTTCTCAGAGCACCAAACTTGAATTGTGCTCGGAAAACTATCTGGGAGCCATTGTAGACCCTAAAGGTGTGTCAGGGATTCTATGGCTGTGATTCATTGAAGCATTGAAGGGTTTAGAGTAGATGATCCTTTGGGTCTACAATTACTAAGGTTCTCTCTTGTTGGGACGGTGTGGGATTAGTAGCTACGCAGTCCAAAGCAGGACATCACATCCCATTACTAGCCCCCAAGCACTGGTCTAAACACTTCAGCTTGCCCCTCCTGATTCAGATGCCAACAGAGAGCTAAAGCTTGGTGTCACCTGCATATAGATCTTCTTATAGTTGGGGGACAGGATGGAGCCCGGTGAGACACTCCCATGGCATTGACCAGAAGGTGCCATGACCACTTTCTGGAAATAGCCAGGAGATAGGAACAGAACCGCAGCGCCCTAAAACCCCACCTCCCTGAGACATTCCAGAAGAATACTGGAATCAACTTCTGATAAATGTCAACAGGTGGCAACCAAAGCAGTTTCCGTATCATGACTAGGCCTGAAGCCAAAGTGGAACAGATTCAAAAACTTATGCCAAAAATCCGCTGCCATTTTGGTGACTGGTGGGCCTCAGTAATTTCAGCCATCTCAAGTGGGCCCTGGGAGTAGAAAGTTTGGGCACCTCTGCTGTGGACTGGGTCCCTGGAGACCCAAGTTCAGATCCCAGCTCAGACATGAAAATCACTGGGTGAACTTGGGCAATCATACTACTCTCGATCCAGCTAGCCTACAGTACCTCTAAGGTTGTTCTGCAGAGACAGACGAACCACCACTTTCCACTCTCTTCCGAGCAATGGCAGGATACCGGACATTATAAAATAAGACCTATAATTTATACATGACTCAAAAATTTAGATATACTTTCCCCAAAAGACCGGGAAGCGTGCTCTTATTAGCTTTAATAGGACACGAAATTAAAATAGAAGATCAAAATTTGTTCATGGTGCTACAGCTGCCGCGAGACCTTCTGGCCCAAAGATGGAAAGTACAAGAATATACCAACTATACAGGAGTGGCAGGCGAAGTTGACAGAATATGGCAGAACTGCCAAACTGTCAGGGAGGACGTCCGGGACCAGGGAGATCAAAGATACCAAAATAACTGGAGTGTAAATGTATTTAATATTTAAAGAAGAATTGTAAGAGGTCAAGACTAGGAGATTGACATATACCTCCAATGTATAATAGTACTAATTTTGAGAATGAGTGGATGATGGAAAGAGGATAAATATACCAGCTGTGGGGAGGGGGTCGTGACTGACTCGGCAGAGTCAAAGGGAATGTATGGTTGCTTACAATTTGTTGGAAAAGAATATGTAAGGAAACAATAAAAATTCACTTGGGAAGAATAATAAAGAGACCTTTGTCATTTTTGAGTCACCAGGTCCTAAGTGACTCCCCTGACTTCTCCAGTTAGAGATGTGTGGAAGAAGCACTTGGGATGTGCTGGGCACGAGGCCTTGGAGATGCTACCAGTCAAAGCAGGCAGTAGTGGCTTAGATATTGGGTGTTTGGGGCAATTACCAAGGGATCCTCTGGTCCCATACCTGGCAACTTCACTTTGCTGGATGTGGCACTGCTGAGAGTACCAACAAGCACCAGACTGGGACTGGACACTTCATCTGTCCCCAGCTGCAACAAAACATGTCTCTTCTGCATCAAAGCTCACTTATAGCCACAGCAGGCGCTGCAGCCTTCCAGCAGCTTGACCTCATCCCAAAAATGGGCACTCCTCCATTGTTTCCTGAGACGACGGATGCCAAATTGTGGCTTTGGAAGATCAATGCCCTTGTTTTCCCTTACTGAAGGGCTGGATAACCTCCAGTCTACAATTTGTATATTTTGTATTTTATCTGTACCGTTTCGAAACGCCTTCAAAACTGTGAACTGATTTGTAAATACTTCAACTATTATTATTCTTTATTTATTAAATACACAACCAACAACACAATACCACAACCCGATACATTTAAAAGCCCATAGAATGGATTGTTTAATCAGCCACAGCTCAGGTGAACAGAGTGTTTCTTGCTTAGGCGCTACCAGGATATTAACGAAGCCACGCCGCAGCAGGCTCCATCAGAGAGAAGCATTCCACACAACAAGAACCTACTACGGAGCATT